GTACGGGTTTTTCTATAATTTTGGGTAAGAGTATCAAATTTAGGTGGTGCCTGAAACGTTGTGACGGAATAACTTCTGTCAGTGTCGAGCTCTCTAAGGGTGAGACCCATCCAGAAATATAGCAGGGATTTCCAAGGGTATCTGCTCCCCCCTATGAACCATTTTACTTGTTGGAGGTCGAAGGACTGGAGCTTGAGATCAATATCACAAACTCCAAGCCCTCCCTCGTCGAGCGGAAGTTGTAGGGTGTTTCGGGCTATCCACTCGATTTTTCCATCCCAGATGAAGGAGTAGATAGCCCGATTCAGCTCTTTAAGAATATGTTTGTTGGGTTTGATTATTCTGCCCACATACCAGACCTGAGATAAAATGTATGTATGTAAGACTTTGATTTTGTCTCTGTATTTCAGTGATCGATTTTTCCATTTGTTAAGGGTGTTGCGAATCCTATTTAGAATAGGATTCCAGTTAGTGTCGTGGCTATTGTGTCCGAAATGAATGCCGAGAATTTTGATATTATTTTTGATATACATTTTATCCGCATCTGGTACGTGGGCAGACATCGCCCCCGTTGTAAAGATTTCTGTTTTAGCTTTATTTATTTTTGATCCCGAGGCCTTCTCAAAGTTACTCAACTCGTAATCTAGGTTTGGGAAGGACCCGGGATCGGTGATAATGACGGACAAATCGTCTGCATGCTGGAAGGTTTTTACCTGTCGGTGGTAATTCGGTATATCTATACCCTTGATATACCGATTGTTGGAGATATTAAGGGCCAAAGGGTGTATCGCGAGTGCGTATAGAGCCATCGATAGAGGGCAGCCTTGTTTCACACCTCTTTCAAGGGTAAAGCAATTCGTGAAGGCTCCACGCACTTCGCAGTACACTCTTAGGTCCTTATAAAGAATGGAGATCCACTTGATTATACAAGGTGGGAGCCCCACCCTTTCCAGAAGGGTGCTAAGGTAGGTCCTGTTGAGTCTATCAAAAGCTTTCTCTTGGTCATAGGCCAACAGGGCCACCCCCAGGTCCTTCTGGGTAACATACTCATATATGTAGTCAATCGAGAGTAGGTTATTGATGATTGATTTGTCTTGGCCTGCTCCCGATTGAGTATCATACACAAGTAAGTTTAAAATAGGTTTTAACCTATTGGCTATCACCTTTGCTACTATTTTATAGTCTACCGTCAGCAGAGAAATCGGCCGATAGTTCTTCAGATCATTTCTTGAGGCCCTTATTCTTATAATGTATGGAAATGATAGATGTTCTCATAGTTTCAGAAAGTTGTTCATGTAAGTATATATTGTTTATTACTTCCGACAAGTCATCCTGGATGGCTTCCCAGAATTTCAAATAAAACTCCTTTGGGATGCCATCAATTCCAGGAG